GTTGCTTATTTATTTACCTCTCCTCTGTTGTTCTTTTCTGCCACCTGGCCCAGTATTCCCAATTTTACCTCTCCTACTAGGAAAAAAAGAGCTTAGTGGGCTCCAAACAGTAAATAAAACTGACATTTGCAGCAGTCGGTCTGATACAACAGGACTAGGATGCAGCAGCACTCCTTTGTTTGGGCTTGTTTCCACTCTTTATTTAAAATCCCTTTTAATCAGGAGCTAATGACAACTTTTGGTTGCGAGAGCTGATGCACAGGGAAAAAAAAATCCCACGAGTTTGCATTCAAAATAATGCAAACCATTCTAAATAGGAAGATCTGCAAGGATATAATCAAGCTAAATTGCTCATTGTTGCTCTCACCAGAGATGATTTCTTGCCTCTGCTATCTGAGTTGGGTTGTCTGGCTTTAGGGAAAATGTGTTCTCTCTTTATCCCAGTTATAAACCTATGCAGCAGCAGCAGCTGGTTGCTGCAAGAGTGGGTTTTGCTCTGGGTTTTGTGCAGATCAAGAAAATCTTTTGGTGGCTTGGATATTGCTGTTCAAACTGTGGCAGGAAAATTGTCTTACAGGTTTCTGCTTCTCTCTTTCTGTAGTTAAACTGACCCTGTAAGGTGGACCCATCTCCTCTGGGACTGTGTTGCAGACACAGAGATGTCTTGCAACAGGTCAGAGCAGCAGCCTGCCAGGAAAACAGGGAGTAGAGAACTCTCTCTGCCTGCAGATGGTATGCAAAAAGCTCTGGATTTTTAGTGACTCGGTGCAATTTATCCTATTGAAAGTAGCTGAGCCTGGAAAGAATTGGTAGCTGATGCTGAAGTCTCCAAGCAGATCAGAATCTGTTTAATCCTTGGGTGTTTTTTTTTTTTTACCCTCATTTTCCTCAACTGGGCTATACATGAATGCAACATAAAACCTGCACACTTTTCCATGCTTTTATTGAAATAGTGTATGACAACATGGAATGGCTTGGGTTGGAAGGGACCTTAAAGATAATCCAGTCTCACCCCCTGCCACGGGCAGGGACACCTTCCACTAGCCCAGGTTACTCCAAGCCCTGTCCAACCTGGCCTCGGACAATTCCAGGGATGGGGCAGCCACAGCTTCTCTGGGCAACCTAAGCCAGGGCCTCCCCATCCTCACAGGGGAGAATTTCTTTCTAGTATCCAGTCCAAACCTTTCCTCCTTCAGCTTAAGGCTGTTCCCCCTTGTCCTGTTGCTCCATGTCCTTGTGAAAAGTCCCTCTACCTTTGTGTATTGTGGAGATGGTTTATAAATTGAACAACAGTATTCTAGCCTTCTGATTTTCCTACTAAATAATCTTTTTTAATTTTTAATAATAATTTGATTGGCTGTTTCTTCGCTGGGCAGTCCTCTGAGAAGTGTAGGTGTCTTCAGTTATGGTGTGGCAGTGAAACTTGCCATAATGTGACAAAAATCAATGGTTATGGAAGGGAAACGTTGCTTGATGATGTCACTCTTGTCCCAAAACACAGCCTTTGGCTCATTTATTCTGCATGTGTCTGTCTCTTAAAGAATTTTCCCCTTTTTCTTCATAGTGTGCAGAGCAACCTTTGCTAAGGAATGGGAACGTCCTGAGGGTTAAGTGACCTAATTTCATCTGTGCTGCTTTCGTCTTTCTAACCTCAGAAGGCAGAGACCCTGAACTGAAAAGTATATAAAAAGATTCTAATTAGCACAGGACAAGTAATAAGATAAGGCCTCACTTGAAAAGGGGATTGATTTTAATTTTCTAAATTAACAAAAGGGTGGAGTCAGACCAAACATCAAGTGTGGCACCTACTTGAATGCTCCACAGCATCCTTTTTTTTTTTTTTGGCCCAGTTCTTGGTGGGAAGGCAAACTCCTGGGCAGAGTTGTAGCTCTCATTGCAGAGTTGTCTTGTTTGGACACGCTGACAAGTCACGATGTCCTTGTCAGCTGTAAATGCCAACCTGACTGTCAGGAGGCAGCTGTGGATGAGAGAGGTGAAAGAGTCTGGACTCACCTCCTGCCTTCTCGTGTGGCCCACCTGTGACAGGCAGGAAACCCTTGCTCTGAGCAGCTGGGAAGGCCACAGACTCACGGCTGAGCATGACATCGAGTCCTCTGGGACACAAAGAGGTTGTCTCGACTCCCTGCTCAGCACGAGCTTGCTCAGGAGGTCCCACGAGGAGCTGCTCTTCCACAGAAGGCAGGCACTCCCTGGAACACTGATTTCTGGGGTGGCTCTTGGAAAAAAGCCCTGTGTTTCTGAGGTTAGCCATTAGGACATCAGAGAGGCTTGTAGCCTCTCTGAACTGTTGAGCTGGTGAATTTTTGCCAGGATGAGAGGAAGAGTTCTGCTGGGTGCTCAGGGAACTCTCTTCCACCTGCAATTTTTCATCAGAACCTTTCTCCTTCTTTATTGCTGTTTTTCTGATTCTTCTCCAGGCTCCTAATGACAGTGATTATGCCAAAAGTGGCACATTTCCTGTACTGTGGAAATGGTTTTCAGACCCAACTCTCAGTGCTCAGAGGATCGTTAAAAACCCAGCTTTTCAGAAGGAAGCTTTGCTGTTCTCTCCACTCTATTTCCAGTCCTGTGTTAACCTGCAAAGTAGTAAAATTGCTGACTTGATTATGTTACATTAATTAATTATCTCTATAGCAACATGCATTGATGTCACAAATATGGGAATTCAGCAACACAGCTGGATGGAAGAGGAGCTAATAGATAAATGGGGAGAAAGCCTATTTTTAAATGCTCAAATATCTGCAGTAGTTAAGTAAACAGGTTGCTAATAAAGTAACATTTTGCTTAATTTCTCTTTCACTGCCCCATTTAATGAAACCTTTTCTGTTATATAGGTCCTGTTGTTCCTCCTAAAGAAGTTTTTCAAGCTGCAGGTCCAACTCTCCATCTGCTCAAAGCACTGGGTTATCCCCTGCTTGCTTTTATACTGACATATGGAAACTCGGGCAGCAGGGCTTCTCCTAGCAGGAGGAATCCCTTCAGCAAAGCCCCCCTGCTAGGGATGGTTCTCCAGGGGAGGGCAGGGTATGGATCTTGAGAAGGGAATACGGTTAATTGTGGCATTGTGGGAAGGAGGGGTGTGACACAATGTGAGATAGGAGATGGCAAGAGGCAGAGGAGCTGGAAAAAGTAATTTTTGGCTCTGAGAGGGCTGGGATGCTCTGCTTAATGTGTGTGTGAGCAGTTGTGACTTGTCTGGCTTCTGGGAGTCCTGAGTTATCTCTGGAAGTCCTGGCTGTGCCACTGACTCTTCCCTATTTTGGCTCTGTGATGAAGGGGCAGCAGAGAGGTGCTTGTGCACTGTGTTTGCCCTGAGCCCTCTGCAACGGGGCTCAGAGAGAGACTCTCTCTCCCTGTCTCCCAGGAGTTTGTAGCAGATGTGGTGTCCTAAAAACGCAGCAGGAATGGTTTGTGATGATAGCTGCAAAATCGGGCTGGGAACAGAAATCAGCAGTTGTTTCAGAGGAAGAAATGTTGTAAGAAGAGCCTGTAATTGCACTGCAGGTCTAAAGCTCCCAAGAGGTTGAGACCCGGTGTTTTTCTTGCTCTTTTTGTGTCAGGAAGTCTATTCCCTGAATAATTTTGCTCTGCTATTTGTTTGCCACCACGGGCTGTGAAGCCTGATCAGTTCTTACCAGCCCAGCACAAGGCTTCAGGAGTAAAAGCAGTCTCTGGTGAATAATTTATTCAGTTAATCTGTTTTGGTTTTTGTCATCTGACAGGTCCCAGGCACGGTACGACACGTCTGTGTGGAGGAGTCTGGGTGTGCAGGGCTGCTATTTATACAGCACCCTGGCTACGGGAATGCCAGGATGTGCTTGGCGGGGCGAGGAGCTGCTGATCTCTGAGGATGATCATCATCAGTAGGATGAGTTCTGCTTCATGCAGAAGGAATGTTGGCTTAGTTTGGCACTGAGGTGGAGCAGAGAAAATTCCCAGTGTGGATGTGATGGACAGTGACAGGTGAGCTCTAGGGACAGCCCCTTAGGGTGGAGATGTTGAGGGTAAAAACCCTTTTTTGGAGCAGCTCAGATCATTTACCACCCAGAATCTGCCAGGAAAAGAAGGCCCAAAATTTTGCTGGTCTCTGTATTTAATTAACTGGAAAGTTAAACTGCACAAACTTCACTTTAAAAATCAGTGCTCTGTGCCTGGGTTTTGTGCAGAAAGGGTTAAGCTGCAAAACAACCTGCCCTTTTCTATATAAATTAAAAACCCCGTTAAGGTGGCAATATTTTGATTTCCGCAGAAAAGTGTTTATTTTGGTAGCCTGTACAAAGTTTCAGCTATTCTAAAACACCGAGATTTCACAGCCGAGCTTTCATGTTCCCAGCAGAGAAGGAGGTGAGATACTCAAAGAATCTCTGTTCTTATTTCAGCACTGCACTTGCCAGCCAAATTTTCAAAAGAGCCCAGTTTGCTGACATAAATGGGGTTGCTGATGTGCCGAAAGAGGAGGAAGCGCCGGAGAACATATTCCTCCCTGGGTCCAAGTCTCTCCCATTTTATCTTTCCCTTCCATATGCTTCCTCTGTAATGAGAGGAATTATTTATCATTAAAGTGATATATAATTTAAAAATTAAAGTTAATGAATGCTTAAATTAATTTACTGACAAAAACAAATGTCTGTCCTTCAGATCCTATAATTTTAATTGGAGTGGGGCTACAGCTTAATTAACATGTATTGATTGTAGTCCTGAGTGCATCTATAGGTGGGTGGACTGTGTTGGGAGAAATTCTCCTCGGAGATGAAGGTGTGTTAAGATCTGCTGATAACATTCTGGATAATTGTCTTGTGAAGAGACAGAGGAGTCTTTGGTCTCGAGCTGTTTTCTCTGCAGAAAGCTTAAACAAAAGCTGTTGTTTAAAATTAAGGCTGAGAATTGGCACGGCCACTTTATAGATGGGAAGAGGATTCTGCTGCAAAAAATATTAATGAATTGAGTCATTAATTAGGTGCACGAAGAACACAGAAAATTGGAGGAGAGTTGGAGCAAATAAAGAAGCGGATGCAACTGGAAGTTTTGGGGGAATAAAAGGTAGGCTTCCCTACACTCCTTCCCCTGGGCAGGTGTCCCCTGTTTTGTGGTGGGTGATGGTGGGGAGGAGTGTGACAGCATGGGGAGGGCATTTTGAGGGAGGTGAATACCCCTTGTTTTGGGCTGGTGGGGGGGGGAAGACATCCCAAGGCCCTTCCAACCGCAGATGTTCCGGGAGCCTGTGGAGCTGGGAGCAGGCACTGTGCAATGCCCTGCAGGCAGGAGCCCATGGTGTGAGAGCAAAGGCAATCCTTGCTCCCTGGCCCAAAACCCTCTGCCTGATGCTGAAAACTTTTCCCCTGACCTGTTCTGCACGGCAGTGGACCCAAATCAATGTCTTTAAAGAGAACTCTGTATTCTCTGGCGTTAATATTTTATGTTTTGTCAATACTGTGGATTACCAGAATGGAAGATGTGCCACAACTCACCTTGCCAGCTGCAGCCCACAAGCTGCCTGGCCTCCTCTAAATGATTCCGGGGAGAGGTTCCCACAGGAGCCTCCTGGCCCCTTGGGGCAGGTGTGGGTGTCTGCAAGGGAGAGAAACCCATAAGCACGTGTTCCCCTCTTGACGGGATGAGAGGAAACGGCCTCAAGCTGCACCCGGAGAGGTTCAGGTTGGATATCAGGAGGAGTTTCTTCATGGAAAGGGTGGCCAGGCGTTGGAAGGGGCTGCCCAGGGAGGTGGTGGAGTCCCCATTCCTGGAGGTGTCCAAGAAACAACTGGATGTGGCAGTGGGTGCTCTGGGCTGGTTGTCAGGTGATCAGTCACAGGTTGGAGTTGATGATCTTGCAGGTCTTTTCCAACTTAATGATTTTTTGATTCTTTAATTCTGTGATTCACTCAGCCTTGGGTTTGAGAGGTTTTTCTTTCCATAGCACAAACTCCTCCTTCTTCTCCAACCTGTTTTTTTTTTTCCTGTTGAATCTTACAGGTGCAAAAAAAACCCCCAACAAACCAAACCCACCCTCTAGGCTTGAATCACAGCAAAATGTTTATAAATTCATATTCAGGTTGCAGAGGAAAAGAGTAAAATAGAGGAAGACAGGAGTTTTTTAGGGCTTGTGAAGTCCCATTTTCCCCTAAGTGGAGGAGCCTCATAGCTCACCAGCTCCATACAGGGGATGAAGGAGTGAGCAGTGATGCTTTGGGGAACCCTCCACCCCCCTCTTCTGCACCTAAACCCAACTTGCAACTCAAACTGCTGTTTCTTAGAATCAGAGAATTGTTTAAGTTGGAAAAGACCTCTGAGATCATCGAGTCCAACCATTAACCCAGCACTGCCATGCTCATCCCCAAACCGTGTCCCCAAGCACCACATCTACAGGTTTTTTGGATGCTTCCAGGGATGGTGATTCCAACACTTCCCTGGGCAGCCTGTTTCAGTGCTTGACAGCCCTTTCAGTGCAGGAATTTTTCCTAATATCCAATCTAAACCTCCCCTGGTGCAATTTGAGGCCATTTCCTCTTGTTCTCTTGCTTATCACCTTGAGAAGAGACTGAGCTCACCTGGCTACAAGCTAATTCACGTTTTCCTTTTGGCCTTCATGCCCCTCAGGAGGGATATTTTGATTCATCTAGTGGGGTTGTGTAAATGGAAACTCCTCTTCCATCTTGTCAAACCCATCCCTTGTGTTGTCCCTTTTTATTAATGTGATGCAAGGGCAATGTCTTCCTGGAGACCTTTTCTTTTCTCCAATATATTGAATAAATTCTACATCAGGAAGGAAAGTAACTTGCAATAATGGACCATCAGTGGGTATTTAAGATTGCTTTAATGGGTCACATTGATGTAATCTACACTTTTTCCTGGGAAGATCATACTGGGCCATAACCTCAATTCATATTTATGTCAGAGGAAAATATACAGTGGAAAGAGCTCTTCAGAAAGAGCTTTTCCCTGCTAAGCAGCCAGATATAAATGTATAGATTTGCTGGAAATATATGCCAGGGTTTGAAGGGGGCTGAGGAAATATCAGGTGTTGAGGTCATTTCTCTCTTGCATGGAAAAGTTCCTGAAAAACTGGTTTCTCACCCCAGGATGTGACCCAAGAAGGTATGTGCTCGTGGGCCCAGAAGTGTGCAAGGCTGAGCAACTTTAAGATTACCTTTAGGAGCACCTTTATCATCCTTTTTCAGTGCTCTGCTTTGCATGTGGCTTCAGGAGATGTGTGGGTATGGGAGATGTTTGTAGTTCTGTAGTTTGGCTCATTTAAAAAAATATTGGAAGGGAAAGAGAAATAGGGCTATATACATAAAAGCAATGTATATATATATACACACACAAATATATACAAATGCACACATATATACATATATACAAATTTATACACACATATATACAACTACACACAAATGTATATATATATGAAATCAGTAATCATGACCTTCCAGTCATGTCCTCGTGCCTGTTATTCCTTGTTGGTCAGACCCCTCTGAAGGCCAAAAGCCAGCCCGCACTCGGGTATTATGGGCAAGTAGGTTGTCTGCAAGGGGGGGAAAAAAGATGAAAATTGTACTTAAGTCCATTCTTCTTGGCCAGGCCAAGCAGTTCCATCTCGATCTGCCGCTGCAGGGAGATGAGATAAAGTTTTGAGTTCACTCGGTCAAGACAGATGAGGGTGAGGGGAAGGCAATGAAAATAGTACAAATTCCTGGAGCTGTCTCCGTGAGGCGGAGGAAGGACAAACATGACTAACGCCCCGTGAATGATTTGCAGAACGGGGTTTTCTTGGACAAACTTCGCCTTTACGGAGGTAAACTGTCAAAGGGCACAGTGCGAGTTTTCTGATGTGTTCATGAGTCAGAATTATTTAATGAGGAACTGGAGCAGGCTCCCCCAGGCCCTGGAGCTGGGTGAGCCGGGGGACTGACACTCCTCTCGGCGAGGAAGGAACTCCAGCACCGGCCCAAAGCGACGAGGTCACTCCGAGCTCTTCCGGGGAAAATCAGGCTCCTTCATTTGCGTTTTTTGGATCACAGGGAGCACATATGCAATGCCCTGAGATGGTAAACCTAACTGCAAAGAAGGCTTTGGTAATGCAAGCCTCCAAGTGTTGATGCCGGTGTTCTGTTTCTATAAATGTTTCTAGTGGTTTGTATCTATACACACTTTATATTTTTCTTTTTTGATACACCATCTAATTTTCTTGTTCTTTCTGTCAGCCCTTTTGATACACCTGTGAGAAGAATAATTTATTCAGCCATTTGTTCGGTGGGATTATCTCTAGCAGAAAACCAACAACTAAAAATTAGTGGTTTTGCACAAACACAGGCTAAAGAAACTAGACTTTCTTTCTTTCCTTTTTCCTTTTTTTAAATTTTTTTTTTTAAGCCTACATTTGTTGAAAATAGCATTTCAGGTCAGCTGAAATTATTTGTGTTGAACTCTACAAAAAAAAAACGACAACAGAAAGTAGCAATTGAAAAAAAAATCAAACCACTTCTTTGTGCGTTTCTGAAATTAGATGCTTTGACTTCCACTTTTTGAAGCAATGTTCGGAACCAAAATGAAGCTAATGCTGACTTCTGAAAAAAATGATGTTTGCAGCTTCCTCAGTGAAGCGTTTCCCCCCCATTTTCTCCTTGCTTTAAATTTTGTTGAAGAAGAAATAAGCGTGTTTGTCTTGAGCTGGCTCAGGATGACCCCCATCTCCCTGGCCGAAAAGAAATAAATCCATGGATCGCACAGTTATTAAGTGGTTGGAGCCCCATGAGCAAAAAAAACAAGGCAGAAGGAAAGCTGCCAAGTGTTTGACATTTCTATTCTAGCAAATATTTGCCTTTTTTTTTTTTTTTTTTTTTCATTTGGTCACCAGAGCTCTGATGTGGGAGAAGGTTCCTTGTGTGCCTAATGATGAGTGTGGACTTAAATCCCTTTGGCTTCTCCCCTTCCCTGGTTTGGGCCAACTCCCCTGAACCAGGGATGGACCTTCAGAGCCGTGGATGAGGTCGAGCTGGGGAAGTCCTTCTGCCTCAGAGCTCCACCCTCTCAGCTCTCAGGTGCCTGCACAGCTCCTTGGCACCGTGGCCATTCTCAGGGATTTGGGATGAGTCCACGAAGCGCAGCTTGAATCTTCACTGCTCTGAAAATGGAGAAAAAACCACTAGGTGCAAGCCAGGAGAAACGGGAAGCAAAGTGACATCTGAGCAGTCCCCAGGCTGTCCTTGTACCCAAGAGGAGTGCCTAAGGTAACTCTTGCATCATGGCAGAGCCTGGAAGTGTCTCAGATCCTTTTGGGACACCAGAAAACTGGATGTCACAGAGGAGGAGCATCCACAGGGGCAGCAACACATGGCCTGAGCTGCAGGATGGGGCACCAGCAACCGGGATTTTGCTGCACTCCTGCTGTGAGAAGGCTTTGGAGCCTCCTCCCTGCTCACTGCACGGGTACAGTTCCCTTCAGCATGTCCTGGGAGCAGCAAAGTGGCTCCTGCTTGCATGGAAGTGGCTGCTTTGAAGAATTAAGTGAAGGAGGACTGCGTTCTTCCTCCCTTTCCCAACCAGGAGATTCATGAGGTGGCAGGGTGAGCTGAAGGGAACTTGCAGTCTTTTCATCATATTGATGGGTGGATGGATTGTGTTGCTTGGAGTCTGTTTAGGACTTTAATTAAATCAGGACTGCACACTCTGCAATGTTTCCCTGCTGCTTAAGGGAATCATTCCCAGCCTCTCAAGGCCTCGTGTGGTGGGATGGCTCTGGCTGGGTGCCATGTGCCCACCAAAGCTGCTCCATCACTCACCTCTTCAGCTGGGCAGGGGAGAGAAAATACAGTGACAGGCTCTTGGGTCAAGATCAGGACAGGGAGGGATGACTCAGGAATTACCGTCACAAGCAAAACGGTTTCCACTTGGGGAAATTAATTTAATTTATTGCCAATCAAATTGGAGTAGGGTAATGAGGAATAAAACCAAATCTTAAAAACACCTCCCTGCTCCTGCCCAGCAGCACAGGGGGATGAGGAATCAGGTTGTGGTCAGTTCATCACACATTGTCTTTACCATTTCTTCCCCCTCACACTTCCCCTGCTCCGGCACAGGGTCCTTCCCATGGGAGAGGGTCCTCCATGAAATATTCCAAAGTAAGTCCTCCTTCTCACAGGCTGCAGTTCTTCACAAACTGCTCCAGTGTGGGGCCCTTCCATGGGTCAGTCCTTCAGGAACAGGTTCCAGTGTGGGTCCCTCCCATGGGTCACAAGTCCTGCCAGCAAACCTGCCCCAGTGTGGGTTCCTGTCTCCATGGGGCCGCAGGTCCTGACAGGAGCTGCTCCAGCTCAGGCTTCCCATGGGATCACAGCCTTCTTCAGGCATCCCCCTGCTCTGGAGTGGGGTCCTCCACAGACTGCAGGTGGATCTCTGCTGCACTGTGGACCTCTGTGTGACACCCTGCCTCACCATGGTCTGCATTGCCTCTGTCAGACACAGGAGAAGCTTCTGGAAGCTTCACAGAAGCTACCCCTGTAGCCCTCTGCTACCAAAACTGGGTCATGCAAACCCACTGCACCTTGATTCATTACTCAGTATTAATTTTTCAGCCTAAAATAAGCTCTAAAGAATTGCTGTTGGAGAGATTAAACTTACAACATAAACAAACTCATATGCACGTTGTTCTCACACAGAAGATGTTTTTAGTATCACATTTAATGTTCCAAACAAAGCCATTGCTTATGGTGTTTTGCAGCCTGTATGCCTTTGAAAGGGTAGATATGGACCGCGTTTGATCTTGTGCTATTTGGGGCTTTTTATTTGCATTTTGTGGCTCTTATCTTGTAAACAAAGACTCCTTTCTCTGTCTGTAGATCAGGATGTCTCCCACAGAACTCTGCAGAAATGGGAGATGGCTCCGGAGGGTGCAAGACGCAAGTTCAGGGGCAAATGGAAATTAGGGATGAAGAACACTTTCCCTTTGAGGTTTGGCTCATTGCAGCAGAGACTGGAGGTAACTGTTTTGTTTTCCCCGTGTGCCATTTGAATTTTATTTTTTTTTTAGCAGCAATTCCAGACTGCACCTGGCAGACTGGGGAGGTGAATTGGCTGGAAAACGGCAATGCCTCCCCAAAATGCAGAGAGGTGCCATAGCTGCCCTCGGGTGCTTGACCTCTGGGCATGACCACAATGCCAGGGAAATAAATACCACGCGCAGAGCTAACTTCAGCTCTCCTCAGAGGGCAAGGAGAGGAGGCAGGAGCAGTGCAGGAGAGGTCTTATTTGTTTGTTGGCTCAAGGGATGTGCATCCCTTTGAGCTGCAGGTCAGGTGGGGGTGGTTGTTAGAGGAGGGCTCTCAGTTTATTGCAGGCTCCCAGTGACTGAGCCATGGGAAAGCTTGTGTCTGAGAGTGCTCAGAAGGCTTCCTGCTGGTGGCTGGTGCCTGCTGGAGAGGAGAACACAGCAGGAGCAAAGGGGAGGCTCCCAGGGTGCTGCTGCACAAGGCACTTCGTGGTGGCCTCCAGCCCTTGAGTGCCGCTGCCCAGTGGGATGGGAGACCTGGTGCTCTGAAAGGCAAACCCACTTCCAAAGCCACTCCTGTGTGGCTCAGTGCTATTTTGTGTGGCTCTCACAGTGGTAACCCCAGCAGCAGCTCTCCAGGCCCATGTGCACGAAGGGGAGGGTGCGGGAATGAATCAGGCAGTTGCTGCTGTTGTGTGTGAGCGAGTTTTTCTAATGTACTTATCTCTTGTTTTCTGTAAAGGTTATAAAAGTAAATAATCCTGCTATAACACAGTGTCCTGGCAGTCCCTGCATAGCTCCATGGATAACTCTTCCTAAGGCTGACTGGTGGTGATTAATATGCTACAAAAGGACATTATTTTTTTTAAAAGGGAGCAAAGAACTAAAGCTGAGAATGTGCCTTGAAGAAGCTTGTTCCCGTCATGCCCCCTGTCCTCGAGGCTGACTAGCTTTTGTTTCTTCCTCCAGATGAGGGAATTGGTGTCATACTTTTCCCTTCTGCCCCACAGTGTTGATCCCTGGCACTGTGAGGATCAGCAAGTGGCCAAAAACATCAGGAGGTGACCTTGCTCTGCCATGAGATCCCTCCTTGCAGGCCTGGACTGCCCATGGGGAAGCTGGCAGCATCCCCACGGACCAGGTAAGCAACATCAAGCTTCTTTCTGCACGACATGTAATACCTGGAGAGGGGCTGGAGACGGAATGTGAGCGGGGATGAAGCCCAGAACCGGGCAGGAGAGGCTGAAGTGTACCAGCTCCTCTCCCTTCCTGGCATTTGTGCTGTGCTGAATTCATATTGATGCTGGTCCGGCCTCTGTAATGGGTCTTTTATCACTCTTCAGAGAGCTGTGGTGGGTAGTGCCTTGGGCTGTGGCCAAGGAATGGGAAACCACTGGGAACTAGGTTGGTGCTGCCCAAGGTTTCCCTGAATGGCATGGCAGGGTACCAAGTACATGCAATCCAGCTGCCAGGAATCTTCCACAGCAGGTGCACCTCTGTCATGTTCATTGACACGTTAAAATTAATGAAAACTGTCCCTTTTTCTTGCATATTCTCAGTATTGCACCCCTCGCCCTCCATCCCATATCCTTCAGTTATCTTCCATGGGATTAAAATTTTACGTTCCCTCATTTTCCAGAAGTAGTTTGCGGAGCACAAATGTTGTCCTGAGCCATCCAGTTCTATTTGCTCTCCATAGATGTGGCTTCTCCCAAGCTTTCCCCTTAGCAGTCAAATCTCCGTGGAACCTTAAAAGCTTAGGCTTGGGAGGGAAGTTTTTCCACCCCAGGATGGATGCTGCTCCCTGTGCTGCAAAATAAATCCCACCACGAGGAAGGGAGAAGCATCTAATCTTCCTGCTCCCTAGATTTAGCTGTGCCATTAGCCTGGACCCTGCACATAAAGCTAATTTTATAATTTGTAAACGTAGCTGAGTGGGTTTTATAGAGGAATGTCGGGAAGTGATGAAATACCTTCAATAGATTTATAAAGAAGTTTAATGCATAAAGCTTTCTCCCCCCCCCGCCCGCTTCCACCCCCTCCTTCTGTCTTGGAGTTGCATACAACAGAAAACATGGCCATGGTAAGGGCTTTGTGGCCGGCACTCAAGCCTTTAATTTTGCTTTTACAAGACAGTTTTATAACATCAGAAAGAATGGAAAAGCTGCAAGGCATGCACACTCAAGACACTGTGCTCCTGGAAAGTTTTGGATGGACTCCAGGCAACGTTTGGTGGCAAAGAAAGATGAATGTCTTGGAAAGAAGAAAAAATAAGCAGCCAAGCCCTCATCCCGCAATGTTCCTGTTTCTGTAAGCTGGGAATGCCGTTGGAGCACAGGAAGGACAGGAAAAATGTGTTCCTGCAACACCACGAGTCTGAGGGTGAGTTTTGACTGCATCAATAAGAGCTTATTCTGTTGAATTTTCCTGGTGTAATGAAAATAAGCCATCCTGTGATCTGCAAGACTAAAAAGCCTGCTTTTCCCTTGCTGTGGGGCTCTACATGGAGTTCCTGTGTGATTTCTCCTGAGAGAAATTCCCAGTTGCTGCCTGTGCCTCTGAATCAGAGAAATGTCTCCCCTTTCTGCTTTCACCAGGGAGGAGGAAACTTGTGGGACCCAGTGGGTATCACAGGGGATCTCTGCAGAGTGAGGTTTTGGATGGAGCTCAAATGGATGGGCAGGTTGGGAAATGATTATTGAAGGGAAGGACAGATGGATGTTGGGACCATGTGTACCCTGGTTCCTCAGGTAACCGGGCTGCAAAGTGTGGCCTGATGGGCCACGAGAGCCTCAAAAAGCCCTGGCCCCATATGAGGGATTTACAGGGCCAGGGAAAGGGTTGTGGACTTAGGGCTCTGAATTACCATGGCAGGGCCAGGCTGATAATCAGCATTCATGGAGCAGCCTTATCATAACCAGCAGCAGCTCCCCCCTCTTTATCTCTCCCAGGGGCTGAGAAAACGTGTTGGCTGATGTCCCTCCAAAGCTCTCCACTGGGAATTATCAGAAGATCTCTCCTGGTGTGGAGAAGGCTCCTCCCAGGCCACTTTGCCCAGCTCTGGCTCAGCAGTTGCAGACTAATCTCTGCATTAAGACTTTACATACCTGAGAAGTGTTTGAGGCTGGCTCAGAGCTGGAAGTGGTTTTTTCCACTCCATCTCTCTGTTTTTTATGTTCCTGGTTATGTTTTCTTTCTTTTAACAACTTGGACTCTTTCGTGAATTTTCTGAATTTTTTTTCCTTTTTTTTATTTGTTTCTTTTTTTTTTTTTTTTACTGTCTTTCTATTGAATGCTGATGGAAAAAGAAAGTTCTTTCCTCCTGCCTACTTAAATCTTTGGCTGAGTTGCATGGAAAAACAGTCACACTTATTGCAGCTCCCAAAGCCTTCAAATCATCGGGAGAGAGGGGAGGAGGGAGCAGCTGAGGGAAGGAAATCATTTGTATAGTCGTAGAGTGAAGAATCACCTTCCTTTAAACTCGTGATCTGTCTCTGTTCCCACAGATTGCTGTCTCTGATCTTTTTTTTTTCTCTGCCCAATATCTCTTTTTCTATTATCTTTCCTCTGCCTTTGCTGTGATGTGTCTGTGGTGTGTCCCTCTTGCTGGAATGTCTTGCTCCCAGGAGAGTTTGAATAAGAACACTGGGACTCGAAGATCCAGGTTATTGACAAGAAATCATTACTAAAACCTTTTAATGCCTCTTCTGTAATTGATACAGAGATGAGCAGGGTGGGTTTTCCTGTAGACATAGGGCTTTTTTCCCCTCTCCTAATGTCTCTAAAAGCCCTGAGTGTGGTGTCCTCCAGCCATTTACTAATGGGTTAAAGCCTGTTGGTGCCAGATGCTTTGGGGTCTGTAAATATTGCCCTGTTTGCAGATGGATACACTTGCAGGGAAGCAGATGGAGCCTAAAATACTGAGCAGCAGAAGACCCTAGAGAGCTCACTCCCAGCTAAGCACCATCCTGTGTGTCGTATTGGGGTCCTCCTTTTCGCTAACAAGCTCTTTGGTTGCCCTTGTAATGGTACAGCCCAAATTGTGGCCTTACTGCCCGAGGTTAAGCTGGGGAGAGAGCAGGAGAGGTGCTCTGAGTGGGGCTGAAAACACCCAGACCTCTTACCCAGGCCACTGGGGGTAAAAAGCAGCCTGGCTGTGGCAAGGGCAGTGGTGTTGGTGTCCGTAAGGAGCCCAAGGAGGGGAGGGATGAGGGACTATTGGGGTGAGACTTGGCAAAGCCCCCGTTTCTTCAACTAAGACTGTCTTCTCATCATCTCCCTTGGTTTTTTTGCTGGCATCTGTTGCTAGGAGATAGAAAGCACAGTCCCTTTTGAAGCATCTTCAGCTGCCCTCTACCTTCCTGGAGAGCTTCAGCTCTGCACAGTCTCCCTTCTCCTTTCCCCCTCCTGGACTCATCTCTTTCATCTTTCTCCCCTTGGCTCTGCACTCTGGTCAGGAAGGACTTGCCACGTCTGTGCTTGCTGTACGGTGCTTGTTTCAAACAGTGCTGTGAGCCCGCTCCCCAAATCCTCTTGTTTTAACTAGCAGGGGATTCAGTAGCAGACACGTGTCTGTGAACTCAGCTCCTGTTCCAGATGTTCCTCCCTGAGGATGGAAGAGCCAGGACTAAGGGAAAGCAGCCCCTTTGACACATATGCAGCTCCTTTTGCACGCAGATATGGGCTACACGGGCAGCCTCCACCACCTCCTTGGGCAGGACTTTGCCTTTGGGATGTGCAACAGCTTCTCAGCCCTGTGCAGGCATTTGTCTGCTCCCTAGGCTTTACTTGGGCTACAGCTTCAAATAAAAACTTGACTGTTTCCCTTACAAAATAAAATAAAAAGGGAGGTGAAGGATGCTGCAGAGGCACAGATGAGAACAGGGATCCGCAATGAGTAGGGGTGTTTGCCCCTGGTTTGGTCTCTAAATCACTCTGTGTGCCTTTAAAAAAACCCCAAATCAAACAAAATGTATAAAAAAGGGGAAAGCTGTTCTCAGCCTTCCAGCCCTGTCTCACAGCCCTCTCCCAGAGCCGCAGAGCTGTGCACGTGGAGCAGGTGGGCACCGAGGGCAGCAAAATGTTTAGTGATTGCTGAGTGAGGAAGTGACATTTCCCAGCTTGCCTAAGGATGCAAGAAAAATGCATCTGTGTCTGCAGCAGGCCCACGAGCTGGGGCTGACCTACACAGATGCCAATTATACACACAGGCAGATGCCCACTTCCCACCTTGGAGCGAGGGGCTGAGGCCGGGTGCAGCCACGGGCCAGGACAAAAAATAGCCAGCACAGAGTTTTTCCTGAGAAAAGCCCCCCCCAGATCCATGGATGTCATTGGAGGGCGAGAGCTCAGCAGGAGCTTAGTGTTGGACTGATGTGTTTATTTGCCTTTGGAGTGAGGGATGCAGCTGGTTTGGAGAGAGCAGTGAAAATTCAAGCCAGTGTCCCCCCTCTGCATCCATTAATGCCCACTGAGCCAGGGGCTCCCACCAAGGCCAGACACCTGCCTTGAAGGCACCAGGGCTGGTCCCTCCCTGGTGCTCCCTCCTCCTCTTGTCCACCCTGATTTCCCATTTCCCATATTTCATTTCTCTTATGGCCTGTGGCAGCCACATTTAGTGATTGCTTCACACATTCATCATGCTGTGGGTGTCACAGTGTGATGGTTGGGGCCTTTGTTTGATTTCCGAAAAAACCTCCCCTTAAACCACCAAACCCCAAACCAGTTTTAACCTGCCTTTAAAACTGAGATTGCATGAGAATTTTCCATGGGAAGCAGGGTGGTTTTTAGTGATTTCTTTCTCTTCCCCTTTGCAGCCTCACTGTAAGATTCGATTTCAGCACTATGGGCATTGAGTTCTTGGGGAATGCTTTATTTTGGAGCGATAGCAATATGGAAATGAAAAATAAGGATCGATCTCAAGGGCTAAACTGAGCTGTGCCAGTTAAAAACAAGCTTTTCTGGGAACTTTTTCCCTTGGGCCAGGCTATGCAAGCATTAACTCAGGACGGTTGTGGTCAACTCAAAGGTTTTGTCACCAAGAGGTCCTTTTCCTCTACTACGCCTGGCCAGCATCACCTGTTTGAGCCTTAATTCCACCTCTGCTTC